AAAAAAAAATTTGACGGATAAAGTTATTAAAAAAAAAAAAAAAAAAAATATTTTGACGATTTTCGAAGACCTTACCAGGCATCGGTCGAGATATTTTAACGAAGATACGGAAAGTACGTCAGAATGTAAATATAACTCACTATAAATTTTCTTTTATGCGCGAAGAAAAATTGTTTTCGAAATTACAGTTACGTAAGATCGAAAAATAAACTTTTGTTCGTATAAAAAATATTCATTGTAAAATATAGTGGATACGAGTTATTCGATATTTTTCATTGTCGATAGTGCACGCCGATGATAAATGTATTTGTAATAGCGAAAAAGGAGCTGGATGATTTATTCGCGGTAAAGAAAGCAACAGCCAAAGTATATCGGTGCCTCTGACATGCACGTGTTGGATGAGTTACGCTATTAATTAGTTGTACCCGTGTTTTTTGACATAAATCACTCTCAGCCAACTCGCTACCCATTATTTCATTGCGAATTCAAGCACAGCCTTTATCACGCCATGTCACATTGATATTGATTTCACTGATTGATATCTAATTAAATCTTGGATCTGTTATTATTTATCTTTATTACACAGAACTTGTTGTAAGCCAGAAATATATTATTTCGTTCGAGTAAAATTGATTTACATTTGACACCAAAATATGCGTTTATTAATATTGTTTGTCAATCAAAGGGATGCATTAGTTTCATTTTTAGAATTTATACTTTATTCGGGACATGAAAATACCAATATTTTTCTTGCTATGGATAAAATTTTTCATATTTAACTGTTAACACAAGCTCTATTTATTTCTTATTACTGTATAATTAACATTAATATTATTAAGTATTTTTTACAATACAACCGTCAATAATATTTTATATGATAATGAGAGAAGCGTATCAGTTTAACGGCTGGTGAAACCGTAAATGGAGATGGTTTAAAATTGGAGTAAAAAAAAAACAACTGTTTTCTAAAGTGAGTTTAATAAAAATAGCAAAGAATTCTAAATGTAAACGTACGACAGATTGAACGAGACAAAACTTTTCTTGAGCAAAAGATACGTGACTCAAGATGAATGTCGATTCTTGTGTGTGTGTCTCTGAAAAAATCAGATGAACAGAGAGTATTGAAAGATTTTCGGAAAGCGATTTCTTTAAATAACTAAAGATGGGTTATGGGCAAGCAAGTAAATCACATGTTTCAAGGTGATCTTTTTATAAAATTGTATTTTTAAAGAATGAAAAGGGACAGTTTTACTTTTGAGGCGTGATTATTATTGTAGGATAGGGTGATCGCAACGAAAAGAAAAGCGTTGAGTGAAAGAAAAAAAAAAAAAAAAAACAGATGAAAAAGTATCAGCCTTTCGGTATCTTATTTTTCACAAAAAATTCAACTTGAAAAATTACGAAAACATTCAATGAAAAATAATCAAGACTTGGGACACGCAAAGGTTACAACCAACGTATTTTCGTTGACTTTTCGAGCTTTTGTAAATTTTCGTGGTTCTCAATTATTATTTTATTTCGTCTTACAGGGTCACCCAGTTAAATCACATTAAACTTCCTATGTGAAACATCTTTAAATCATGTTTTTTTTTAGCTCAACCACATACGTACACACCTAAATAAATACAAGGCAATCATGGCTTTCAGTAAATACGAACGATTAAGTTTTATTACAGCTATTAACTGTAAGCACTTGGATTTTCCCATTACTTTTATTTAAGAATTTTTTATTTGGAGCATCGGTAGGAACCTCTAATCTCGTTGAAAAAAAAAAAAAAAAAAAAACTACGAATAGCATTTATCTGAACGTGTTGAGAATCGAGGGACGGCAAAGTTATTTGCTGGCTAATGAACGCGATTTGCAGGTATCCTTCGCATTCTTTTCGTCTAGTGAGTGCCTGTTGTTCATATTTACCCGGGGCTATTATGACATTTATGCATCTAATAATAAATACACACATTGTTTCGCTAAGACGGAGGGAACGAACGTACAGTTGGAGAAGCTTTGAGCTTTTGAAGTTGTAGTACATTGCACGTAACTTGGTGATTACGAATGACGGGTTGGGCAATAAAATCGATGGCCGCGAAATGCATGAAACACGGGGAAGGTCCGGCTAAGTAGTTATTTTATCTACCATGGGAAGAAAAGAAAGGAAAAAAAAAAAAACAAAAAAAAACAATTAAATCAAATCCAGATGTCGAACCCAGCTTTGGTAAAGCATCGCCGTGAAATGTAGGCCTATTGGCGATGCAACAAGTAAAAGTAAGAAGTTCGTTAGAATAGAATTTTCTGCCGTGAGCGTAGAGGCGGTGCGAGGTGGCGATACTCCGGCCAAAATAACTCAACGTCTTTCTAAAAGCGGCATCGGCTAAAAGCCGCCTCGAGAGAACTGCGTCGCCAGTGGACTTGAAGGAAACCAAGAGCCCCGGCCCATTATATCTATGTCGGCCGAGTCGAGCTTACATCTTTTATCTCGCGTTTATTTTTTCCATTTTTCTCGCTTCGCCCTCCGTTCCATTTTTGTTTTTCCTCTATGCTCCGAATCGACAATGTGTCTTTTCTTTCTTTTTTCCATGGCCAAGTCGTGAAAAACAACGCGCTCGAAGAAACACTTGATAATCGAGAAAATGAGGCAACGAGAGGGCTACGAGCAAAAAAAAAAAAAAAAAAACCTTTTCATCCATATCGTGTTACTTCTGCCACCAGCAGAGCGCTCCGATTTACTTTTCATCGTTAAAATCATCCTCAAACGAAATTCGGACGATTTACGAGTACCTCTTTGACTTTTACCGTACGGACGCTGCATTTGTTTTGCTCAACGTACGCGCGCGTGAGAAACCGATAAATCGTACAATTTTTTGGTGCTTTGAAGATATGCATCATGAATTGCTCACTTTTTCACGCGCGTACGCACTTTGGCACCATAAATTAGGTTGAATTTCATCTAAAATCAATACCAATGTAACCGACAATCCATTACGTGAAAAATAAATTAAATTTGTATTGTTTTTTTGGCAGATCACGCAAACAGCGTTGAAAAACAAATTATTCTGATCTCGTGGAGTATGCAAGTACTATATACACGTCGAGCAGATGCAAACGGTGCTGTTATGTATTACTTTTTCCTTCATTTATTCATTTACTTGATTTTTTTTTTTTTTTTTTTTTTTTTTTTTTTTTTTTTTTTNCATTATACAGTTGGCCATATATGCGGACGTTCGAAAGATTTTGTTTCGCGTTTCCCTCGCTCTTTTCGGGGCTATTTGCCAGTTGTTCGCGTTTTTGGGGGAAAAAAAAAAAAAAAAAAAAAAAAAAAGCCACGTAACCCGAGGCCACCCAAGATTCGGATGACGGCTATTTCCGTATGGATGTATTTGGAACCAGGTAAAGACCCCCTGCCCTTCCAGCCCGTGCACCAGGTCTCCAGAGCCCATGTGTAGGAATGCAAGCTCGGGTGGGGTGGGGGAGCTCCGGCGCTGAAAGAGCTTGCGGGGGTGGGGGCTATTTATAGGGTCGCGGCCGAGCCGTGCTCGCGTATACGGCCAGTTACACGCAGCTACTCCCGCTGCCGGCGTCGCCGAGGCCGCAACCCGGATGCACACCACCGCCCTGCACACTTTTTGTGATACATATGATAGCCCCACGATCACCGCATTCTCATACGCAATACATGTAAGTGGGGATGAAACGGCATGCGGTCACTTTATGGCCATTATCGCGCACACTTACACCAGTAGACGGCGACAAAGTCCTTTTCCTTGAGCAGCCGCTCGAGCTGCTTGCTCGTGACCTCCTCGATGACCGGCTCGTCACGCCCTTGTTTGCTGCCGGTTTGCTGTTGTTGTTGTTGTTCCCGGGCGGGTGTTCGTACCGCCGAGACAGAGCCACCGAGCAGGGGCAGGATAAACAGCGGCGACAGCAGCAATAGGAGCAGCAGCGGCGGCGCTCGGGGCTGCCGCCCCCTCGTACCGTCGTTCGTCGTCGTCGACATCGCCGCACTGACTGGCCGGCCCCTTGGCTATAGCCAGCTACCATCGGTGTGCCATCGTTGGCCGGATCAAACCAAAGCCTCGACTTTACGTGTACGTGTGCGCTGCACCACCTGGACCCCGAGCGCCGAGCGCAAACGGCTATTTTCGTTCGGGCGGATCCCCCCTGCCCCACCCCCCACCCCCACACACACACCGCTTCGCGTGTATATACATGCCAGGGGTAGCCGTGATACTTATACACACGCAGCCTTTTCGAGAGCGCCTCTTCGCGCCGATGACGATCTTTCGCCCCCTCCATCGCCGCGGTCTTCCTGATGCACCTTTGCTCTCTCTCTCTCTCTCTCTCTCCTCACGTGCAATCGTCCCGCGCGCCTCGTTGCCCCAAGTGTCAACGGGCAATGGTTCCTCCAACCCTATAGGGAATCCACCTGGAAGTTAATCCTGAGGGATGTACATTGTACCCATGTACTTACGATGATTAGCCCCTCTCCGTTTGCCCCATTATTACCTACAATTGTAAGAGATCGGTATAATATACGTGATTTGCGCGACAACCTTCATCGTGTGCAGCGACAAAGGGAACTCTCGATACCATCGTCCGCGGGTTTCACGCACATGCGCCAGAGAAATTGGTCCGTTATAATAATATCAACAGTAATAATAATAATAACAACAATACCTTTTTATACTTATAAAATATGAATAATAGAAAGGGGGAATGAACAAACAAACAAACAAACAAACAAGTCGATGGAGTTCATCCCTAAATTGTACGCTTGAGTTGAGATCACTGTAGTTGGTCAAATCACGCAGATAACTTAAGAGAAAGAGCGCGTGTGTATTTACGAAAGTTTGGAGGTCGCCGAGTTGATAAGATAAGTACCGGCCAAAAGAATTTTGGGACTTGCGAAGCAACGAGCCAGATGGTGTACGAGCGAATTGGGCAAATGTTGGTACGCTGTACAATGTGGTCGTCCAACAAATACACGGTGCGTCGACGAAGAGTGTAATATACGGGGGCATTGGTATATATATATATATATATATATATATATATACACACGTGTGAATGAGCGTGAAACACAATATACTTACTGTGCAAGTTTGTAGATTTACTTACGCGTTATGAGTACGTGGTCGTCATAACGCGGTGATATACATACGTGTGTGTACAAGAAACATATGTAATAAGCTCATGAGCGTGTGTGTTATCTATCGCTGTAGCCGTCAGTAGAGCTAATGTGCGGCTTGCTCGGTGTTCAGTTTGTAGCGAGACGCCATGCAAAACGAGACGCGGAGCTTGAACGTCGTCGTCGTCGGGGGCGGCTTGGTGAGTCTTATTCCTCCGATCCTTTTTTTTTTTTTTTTTTTTTTTTTTTTTTTTTTTTTTTTTTTTTTTTT